TTGTAAAGTTTGCAAGTAAGGAAAGAAATACTGTAACCAGAGTCTTATAACATTAATGCAAAGTGGCAGCAATTTAAAGTAGTTTTCAAACATAAGCCCTGCTCCTGGACCGGAAGAATTCTACATATGAGAAAATCGCAGAGTGATGTTTTCTGTGATGTTTTAGATGATTGATCAATGGCCACGAAAGACTCTGAATCAAGAAATTTAGACTTAGACCTTATTTCGTCCATAAAGTCTTTCTGTAGAAACAAAATTCTAATCACCACTCATGGAAACAGAGCTGGGGACAATATTTATCACTAATCAAATTTAAAATGTACCCACAGTAGGCTGGGCACAGTGGGTCACACCTGTAATCCCAGCATTTTGGGAGGCTGAGGTGGGTGGATCACTTGAGGTCAGGAGTTCGAGACCAACCTGGGCAATAGGGCAAAATTCCATCTCTACTAAAAAAACAAAAAATTAGCTGGGTGTGGTGGTACACGTTTGTAATCCTAGCTACTCGGGAGGCTGAGACAGGAAAATCGCTTGAACCCTGGGAGGCAGAGGCAGCACTGAGCCAAGATCACAACCACTGCACTCCAGCCTGGGTGACAAAGCAAGACTCTGTCAAAAAAAAAAAAAAAAAGAAAAAAAAAAAAGTACCCAAAGTGTATAGCATGGTACCAAGCACGAAGTATAAGCATAGGGGGCTGGTAAGCGTTTGCTGTTTTCACCTACCTTCTTTGGAAATACTGGATCCCAAATTCAGCCTGCATTTATAGAAAAAGACATGGCAATACACCTAAATATATTCAGTAAGGGGCTTGACTTATTTTAAAATCCAATGTCATACCCTCTGTGGCTCAAAGCAACTGACTGTGACAAGAACTTTTATTTATAGGCAAGGCAAAGCTGCCCAGCAGAGCCTCCATCCAAGAAAATAAAACTAACAGTAGGGAGTAAGGAAATTAACTTTCAAAGCACCCTACAGTTTTGATAATAACATTCAATTGCTGTAGAAAGCTGGGACTTTGCATTATTTAATGACTAGAATATAAATTAACACCCTTTTTTTTTTTTTCAAATCTAATAATGTTACAAAGCAGAATTTAGAACATTTACTACTTATAAGCAAACTAACCCCCCTTCTTAACTTGTGTTCAATTGGGAAGGAAAACATCACCCAGGCATTTCAACAGCCATGCCCTCTTGCAAAATGTTTCTTACAAAACATCAGGATTTTATCTATACCAGCACTTTTATAAACGGCAGGTCTCAACTCATGAGTGGATCCTAAAACGCAATTCAGTGAGTCACAACCAGCTTAGAAAAAAACGACATAGAAAATTTGCACATGATATTTTGTGAATAGTGTATGTGTTATGGGTATTGGGTGATGTTGCAATATGTATTTCTTATTGCGGATTGTGGTCAAGAAAAACTTGAAAGTCACTCAAATAACCAAGCTGTAGAGCTACTCAATTACATGATTACACATATGGTTTTTTCAAACAAAGGCATATTGTTCAGCACCGGGTGTTTTTAAACAGAAACACAAAGGGAATGGAAGCCAGGGTGGCTAATGGTACATAATGGCCTTAATTACACTACTGAAGGATCAATATTAGCATAGCTCAGTCACCAGCAGCCAAGGCACAGAAACTGGTACAGCAGGAAGTGGGAAACTGGGAATCGGTCATCCCCGCCTGATGCTCTGGGTGCACATTCCAAAAAGATGATTCCATATGGTCCCCAGGGCTGGCTTCCATGAAAATAGGGAAAGAAACACGCGTTTGCCTCTAAGTCACAGAATCCTGCAGATGCCTGAAACACACTTCAAGTCCCAGCTCCCTCCCAAAGCCCAAATGTGAACATCAAAGTAAAACATTAAACATCCACTCAAAAACAACAGGGTGGAGCTCCTGTTTCCTGGAGAGAAAGCAGTCTGCGCCCGGGAAAAGAGTCCTGGACTCCGAGAAGGAGATCCTGCCTGGCTGGGTGGGCGATGTGAAAACAGCCAAAGAAATCCAAAGGTTTCTTCCATCCAGAGCGGGCAGGCACGATGTCCTGCGCTGGGGATGGGGCAGGGGCTGGCCTGGCCGCAGGGATAGGCTGCCTCTTCGCTTGAGGCCCTGCCCAGATGCCACGTTGAGATGCTCAAGGACAAATGGGAAAGTTTTTCCAGTACTCTCATCTTCCTGGGCCCCAACTACAGAGTCCTGGATCAACTTGCAACTTCCTCTCCTTTCTCATCTTTTTGTTTGGCCACCGTCTCTCTTCCCCAGACACCCACTTTGGTCACTGGCTTTCCAACCGCCCTGCTCCCCCCAGATTTCGTAGCCCCCGCTGCCCCACCACTCCCTTTGCGAACTCCCTGCTTTCACCCCTGGCCCAACCTTCTGGCTCTCAGAGGACACTGGGAGTGGGGTGGGGTGGGGCAAACCCCACTGCAGGCGTAAGGGGATAACAAGATCCCAACGCGTCCGAAGCAGCCACCGGCCCTCCCGCCGAGGCTGCCTCGAGGCGCAGGCCACAAGTTGCGCTCAGGACGACAGCCCTGGGTCCTGACACTCTGTCCCCCACCTCCCTGGCAGGGGCCGCGTCGCGACTTACGTGCAGTCCTGGTTGAAAGAGAAGCAGCTGAGCGCCGACTCGACCCCACCCGGGGGAGCGTCCGCGGCCTCGGCCTCCATCGGGGGCTCTGCCCGGGAAGCCGCAGCTCGGAGCCGGCGACAGCCACCTCAGCAGCCCGCCCGCGCCGGCTCCACGGGACGGGTCGCCGGTCCTGTCCTGCCCCTACCCCGCCCCGTCCCCGCCCCGTCCCCGGCCTCGCTCCGCCCCTCCTTGCCTCTCGAGCGGGTCCCGAGGATCAGAGCACCTGACAGGGCGGGCCCCCTGCCTCCGGTCACCATTGGCCACGAGCCCAAGCCGCGGCGGGCGGACACCGCCTCCTTGGCCAATCCGTGACGGCTGTGGGCGGATCCACCCTGGCGACTCGCCCCTGGCTTCGTAACGCGGCTTTCCATTGGACAAAGGCGCATGACGCAAAGGCAGCAGGCCCACGTGGTGGTGTTTTCATTGCCGGAGCCGCCCAGCTGGGAGGGAGAGGGAAGAATGAATGCGGCTGGAGCCAGACCTGCTGGTTTCAGTCCGGCAACTGCGTCGGGGCCGCAGCAAGGGGGACAGGAGGACGCGCTAGTTCCCACCCCCCTCAGACCCCTTGACATGTGTAACTCTGCCTGTTAAACTTACAGAGTTTAGCAGAGAGGGTTAGACTCCAAAGCCCCACCCTTTTGTAGAGTCCTCAGGCTGCATTGAGAGAAGCTCCTGAAATGGTACTGCCTCAGCCAGAGAGATAGCAAGTTATCTTATCCATTGCCGAGCGGTTGAGAACCTCACTACTTGCCAAGCGCCATACTATGTATGTCATCTTGTTGAATTCTTATAAAACTTGTGTGGAAAATATGATTGTGCTCAATATACAGAAGAGGCAACTGAAGCTCCAAAGCTACACAATTTGTCTAAAGTAACAATAAATGGTAGAATGTGTATTTGTCTGCTTTCAAGACCTCTGCACTAAATAACTGCTAAACAGTTATTTGGCAAGACCTATCCGATCCGTAGCTGAAAAGAAAATGAAAGAGTGTGTAGGGCAGTGTAGTTTATGAAAGGGGTAACGTCTGGAAGACGTAGCACAATTCAAAACTCACATAATTCGAGATAAACCTTGACAAAGGATCTCTTTTTTCAAGCTAAGTACTGTACATATTTCCATGTGGAATTATTGTCAATACGGTTTATGAATCAGGCGCTCTTCCAGCTTTGGATTGTATAATTGCTGATGGATTTTTAATTCATCATTTTCAAATTTTGAGATGATATTTTAATTATTGTTATATGACAGTGTCTCAAATCAGCATAATTCAAATTTATTAGGTTGATGTAAAAGTAATTGCGATTTTTCCCATTTCCCACTTTTAATACCTAGTTTATGACAAAGCCATATATATATATATATGTATATTTTTAATCTTGGACCTAGAATAGGTGAGCAAAGGGCACTGTTTCACCTAAACCTTTCTGGTTGGATTTCCGGTTTGTGTTTTCTGAGATGCAAATGTAACGGTTTCTTTTCTCAACTTTATTATTTTTTTCTCTCCACTGATGTAAAAAATAGTTCAGCTCATAGACTCAGAGATGTTATTGCTCTTTGGCTGATTGTGAGGTGTTGTATAAACTCTCAGAAGTGAACGGAACTGCTGTTTAGATACTTCGTGCCATTTTTGTAACCTCTCAGATCAAAGGTGCTTCCCCCCACCTTCCAGCTCTGTCAAATGCTGCAGTCATTTCTGTCCTGGTTGGAAAACCTAGAATCTGGCATGCTAGGTGCAAAATTGTTTGGAGAATTACATGAAGCGTGCCATAAAGTTTTTAAAGTGTAAGCTGTTATTATCAGTTTGTTATTAAGAGTCTGGACTTTATGGGGTAGATGTGGGAGCTGGTGTTAGTTTTTGAGCAGGAGTGTTTCGTGATAAAAGCAGTGTCTTTGTCAGATAAAGTTGGCAGGGGTGTGCAGAACAAATTAGAAGTGGGAAAAGACCTAGAAGTCTTTAGGGGACTAATGTGAAATTCTGGAAGTAAAGGGACAGGACAGACTAGGCTAAAGTGATGAAAACAAGGCCAGAAAATTAGACCAAATCATGGAGTTGTTATCAGGCAATGCTGACCAATAGATAAAATGAGCCCAATGTGAACTCCACATGTAAATTTCAATTTTCTAGAAGATACATTTAAGAAGGTAAAAAGAAATAGGCAAATTAATTTGAATAATATCATTTATTTAATCTAATATATCCAAAATATCATTTCAATATAAAGATAATCAATATAAAGTTACTGATCAGTTAATTCAGGTTTTAATTTTCTTTCTTTCTTTCTTTCTTTCTTTTTTTTTTTTGAGATAGAGTCTCACTCTGTCACCAGGCTCACTGCAACCTCTGCCTCCCGGGTTCAAGCGATTCTCCTGCCTCAGCCTCCTGAGCAGCTGAGACTACAGGCTACAGGTGGGTTCAAGCCATTCTCCTGCCTTAGTCTCCTGAGCAGCTGGGACTACAGGCACCCGCCACCATGCCCAGCTAATTTTTGTATTTTTAGTACAGACGAGATTTCACCATATTGGCCAGGCTGGTCTCAAACTCCTGACCTCATGATCCTCCCACCTTGGCCTCCCAAAGTGCTGGGATTACAGGCGTGAGCCACCATGCCTGGCCTTAGATTTTAATGGTTTTAGAACTAAATATTGAAAATCTGGTGTGTGTTTTTTACTTATAGCATATCTCAGTTCACATGAGCCACATTTTAAGTGTTCATGTAGCTGGTGGCTACTTTATTCTCAGTAGACTCTTGAGGGACTAAATGACAGGCATGGCAACTAATGGGGAAGAGGGAGGGGCGGGGAAGAAGAGGGAAGAATCAAAGCTGGTTTCATGGTTGGGAAGGGGAAGCCTGTTGAGTTGCTTTTAGAAACTAGATCTTCAGTCAAGTAATGAGGAAGATTTATTTCATTTCAGACACTTTTCATTAGCAGCAGAACTGCATGCTTACTGGAATTAAGGTTTGGATGTAGAGATGTGGCCATGGGAGAAAAATGGTCACCTTCCCAGCCTCAACCTTCCTGTGAACGATCCCCCTTATATGTTTCTTTCCAGGCTAATGGTCCATTATGCCACCAGCCATGTGGAAAAAACGTCCTAGGGCTGCGTCATCTGACTTCATTTTTCCCAAGACAATACGTAAGTCTATATTTTTATATAAATCTATGCCTATTTTATTAAAAACCTGCATTTGTAGGTAAATTTAAAAAATGATGAAAACTAATTCTTATTTTCAAAAAGTACCTTGTGAGCCAAACTGAATACATCAGCTAGCTGGATGTGGTTTGCGGAGGGCTGGTTTGTGATTTTTGTTAGAGGTATAAGCAGCCACTTTGAAGATCTCCACCCTCAAAAAATTTCCCAGAAGTCCATTCATATAAAAAGCCAAGGACGAGGTTATAAATAACTTAAGAGGTGCTGAATCCATTTAATGTCAGACTGGTTTTTCTTTTTTAACATTCTAGTTCTGGGTTCTGTGGGAGAGGACATTCTTGATTTGAATGTTGGGCTCACGAGCATCCTAATTCTTACAAGTTCTTGCAACAGCAATTTCACTACTAAATAACATCAGCAAAAGGTAATGGGGTAGGTGGGGCGGCAAACAATGCTTTGTTCCAATGGGAATAAGATTTTGGCTTTTTCTCTTTCGACTGAAATTCCTAAATGTCTATCTTTTCCCTGAAAAACAAAACAAACAAACAAAAACACCTCCATTATTTCTAGGAAAACTTACTTGTAAGTTACTTACCAGTCAGCAAAATCTGGGAGAATAAAGCTGGGCTCTGGGAATTAAAAACATGTTTGGTAATACAAAATTGCAGGCCACAATTCATCTAATGGAGAGCCTTCTTATTTGTGTAACAATCAGGTTGTAATTTTAAAATGCTGATTAGGGCATGCACAGGGCATTCACAGGGGAAGGTGGAAATGAGATGTCCTGTCTGATGCAACACTCCTGTCACCCCATATGGTCACTCAGGGCACCCAACCATCTATAATTAGAGTAACTACTAGGTGAACAAACACTGCTCCTGTTCTGTTCTTCTTTTTATAAAGTCCATTCTATTTTTATAAAACCAAGTTACAGGAAATAATCTCCTTTTTCTTTTCTGCTATGGGGCAATACTCAGAACACGAACTGAGAACGAGTTGAACCCTAATGGGCCAGTTATGTGGCCCTTTGAGAAAGAGTAAAGTAGGAAGGGCCTTGGGACAATGGAGCCAAGAGGGAGAGGGAGGGAAGGGCGATGTGTTAGTACGTGGAGGAAGTTCAAGGAGTCAGCCCTATGGTGCCAGGGTAGAAGAGGAGGGGTTGGGCTGGGAGGTGATTTCTGGGAAAGGAGATGATGGATCTGATTGGCAAGCAGGAAGCCCCAGCCAGAGATCTGGCTGAGCAGCAGGTGCAACTGGGTTTTTGTTTCTAATTATAGACAGTTCGTGTGAGATAGCATGGCTGCAGGGAATGAAGGACCCCTATCATGTGGCCTTGTCCCCCAAATGGAACCATTATTTCTGGATTTATTGATGGAAAGGGGAGAGACAGGGAACAAAAACTAACAACACTTCTAATATTCGTTGACTTACATATTCCTTCCCAAGAGTCAGGAAAAATGTTATTTCATGAAAGAGTGAATTGATGTCTTAATCTTCATTCTCTCCCCTCACCCATCTTATGCTTGCCTCCAGAATAACCTTCCTGAAACAGCAAGGTGAATCACAGGTTTTTAATAAATGCTTGCTGATTGGCTGATGATCACGAAGACAGTTGCTCTCTATGAGTGCTTTTGCTAATGTCCTTTGAGCTGAGAGTCTATTACTCATGCCAGTGCAGAGAGGTTCAATCAGGGTGTGTTTGTTCACTGAGGCATCTTCAGATTGGTCGAGAATACAGAGACGGGTTCAGCAGGTCAGCCGATCACCCTGCCTTAAATTTTAGAGTATAATTATAGGCGATATCTGAAAATAGAAAACCAAGCTTTCTATAAAGCTTGGTTTGGAGCGTCATCCATCTTCTCATTTAACACTAACCACACCTATCTGGTCTAGGAATGTTTATCCCCATCAGGCAGCTGCATATGCCGAAGTGGAGACTGTTGAGTAAGTTGCCAAAGGCCCTAGCACAGTTTTTGATGCAGGTGTGGTTGTATTCTGATCCCTTCCACGGGGTGCCCGGGTTGCCAGTCCACGCTATCTCGGACTCCTTTGGCTCAAGGCTGGAAATAGAATTGGCATCTTAACCTGTGCTTCATCCTATGAAGGGACAGAGGAGCAAGGGGTGAAGAGATAGAGGCCGAATTATGCCAAGAGGGTCACAGGCTAAGTACAAGGGGGAGAGTGTGGAGTCCTGCAGCTCTGCAAAGGGCACCAACACTTTGCCTACATTTACCAAGGGTACGTCTAGAAATACTCAAAAACGACCTTTGCTCCCAGAGGGTTAGCCTGTGCTCTTGGCTGGGCATGGCTTGTTGGGAAGTGCTGTACTACTTTAGGTTTCTTTCTAGTCTAGCGGTGGTGTAGGGAGTGGTAACCATTTTTTAGAATCAGTCAACCCTGGGAAGAAGGTGGATTCAAAGGCTTTGGGGTGGAGGTGAGAGGGGCGTGGCTAAGAATCCCGAGATTCTTGGTGAACAGTGCCATCTAGTGGTCTGCGTGATTTAGTTCTAGGATGGTTGGGTGGACACCTCAGGAAAAACTGGCTTGAGTGATAAGATATGGGTAGCCGGTCCGAAAGCCCCAAAAGAGAAGTCTCTGAGGCTGCCTTGTGTATTCTTCCAAAACCTGTTTACTGTCTATAAATGGAAAACACGGAAGCCTCCCTCACCACTCCCTCTGAAGAAGAAGAAGTTTGGAAGGAGTTTGTATAATCATTCATCTGATCAATTTTTTATCACGTGCCTGTTGTGTACCAGCCATGGCCCCAGGTTCTAGGGATATGACACTGTTCGAAATAAATAAAAACCCCTGCCCACCAGGGCAGAGAGACCATCAACAAGAAAAATGAGATGTATAGTTCCTAGATGGTGATAAGTGCTAAGAAGAAACACACAGCAGTGAAAGCGTGTTTGGGAGTGTGGAGTGTGGGGAGGAGAGATTTTGCATAGGGTGGGAAGGGAAGGCCCCACTGAAAATTTCCATTTGAACAAGACGTCTGGAAGAAAAGGGAGCAGATTATGCAGTTATGGGGGAAAAGGCTCAAAGAGCAATGAGGAGGCAGGGCCACTGGAGTAGGGAAGAAGAGTGGGGAGAACTACAGGTAAAAAGGTCAGAGTGACCTGAGAAATCGCTGGAAGTTCTGACTTACATTGGAATTCGACACAGGCAGCTGTGCTGAAAATAAATTGAAGGTGTCTTGGGAGATTCACAATTCGCTTTAGCACGTTCAAGTCTCCAGAAAGCCCAGCATTATGTTTATTTAACATTGTTTCCCAAGTACTTTCCAAGCTTATTTAAAGATAGATCCCTGTCTTCCAGGAACACCCACTACATGTGGGAACCTGAGAAAATGGAAATCAGCTCGGATAAGCAGACTGGAACATTCCCGACAGTCATAAACAAGGCCAGCACAAGGCCAGGCAAAAACTGTGTTTAACCCAAGGCCACACCATAGCTGCAAACTTACTGACACTGGCATATCTAATCCTTTCTTATCAAAGCCTCTCCCAGACCCACTCGATTTCTCCACTTGCTGAACAAAAATTTCTGAGATACCCAATGAGGAAACCACCCTGCCTCATGACACACGCATGACACCCTGACCTGATTCCTGTTTCTTCTACCTTTCCCTCCCTAGCATTGCTTAACACAAACCTGGCAAAAAATCCCTTTCCCACAGCCTCTTACTGAGATGCCTCATGGTTCACTTGATGTGCACACCCTCTTGCTGCAGGAAGTTAATAAAACTGACATTGCCGAGGCGGATGGATCACAAGGTGATTAGCTAGGTGTGGCGGCGTGCACCTGTAATCCCAGCTACTCAGGAGGCTGAGGCAGGAGAATCGCTTGAACCCGGGAGGTGGAGGTTGCAGTGAGCCGAGATCACGCCACTGCACACTGCACTCCTGCCTGGGTGACAAAGCGAGACTCCGTCTCAAAAAGAAAAAGAAAAAGAAAAAAAAAAGTGACATTGACAAGATTCATTCCTCTTGTACTTTACCTGTTATCAGAGCCCAGCATTTCATAGAACAAGTTGTAAGAACAGCTGGACAAAATGATTATTTCCTATTATGAAATTCTGAGTCTAAAGATAAAACATTGTATCTCCCCCAAATCTATCTTGTGTACCAATTGAGAACAGCATCTTAAGAATGAAAAGGGTGAGGAAGTGTGGGTTTTTTTTGTTTTTTTTTTGTTTTGTGTTTTTTTTTTTAGACGAAGTCTCACTCTGTCGCCCAGGCTGGAGTGCAGTGGTGCGATCTCAGCTCACTGCAAGCTCCACCTCCCGGGTTCATGCCATTCTCCTGCCTTAGCCTCCCGAGTAGCTGGGACTACAGGCGACCGCCACCACGCCTGGCTAACTTTTTTTGTATTTTTAGTAGGGACGGGGTTTCACCGTGTTAGCTAGGATGGTCTCGATCTCTTGACCTCGTGATCTGCCCTCGGCTTCCCAGAGTGCTGGGATTACAGGCGTGAGCCACTGTGCCCGGCCAGCTTATTTTTATAAGTTGCTCCTTGTCTCTCTGGTCCCTTTTGCTGCTAACATTTTTGGCTGAACATTTGTACTATGGGACCTCTTGGCTTGGTGAGGGTTTAATACTCTTCCCTCGTGCCAGGAGCCTCCTTGGACTTTCTCAGGCAACACACAGATGTCTGGAGACAGACCAGATTGGTTCTGGGCAAAACAAAGGACATTGTCTCCGCTTTCTATTATTATTATTATTTTTTTAGATGGAGTCTCACTCTGTTGCCCAGGCTGGAGAGTAGTTGTGAGACCTTAGCTCACTGCAAACTTCGCCTCTGGGGTTCAAGCAATTCTCTTGCCTCAATCTCCAGAGTAGTTGGGGTTACAGGCGTGCGCGACCACGCCCAGCTTATTTATTTATTTATTTATTTATTTATTTATAGAGATGGGATTTCACCATGTTGACCAGGCTGATCTCGAACTCCTGACCTCAGGTGATCCACCTGCCTGGACCTGTCAAAGTGCTGGGATAATAGGCACGAGCCACCGCGGCTGGTCTGTCTCAGCTTTCTTGAGCTGTAGTGAGTGTATAGGCAATGGTGATTCACAAAAGGAGACTTGCATCTTAGAAAGGTCCCTGCAGCAGCCGTAGAGGATATTGGAGAGGGGTGGGTGATGGGGCAGAGACCAGGTGACAGGCTGGTGTGTCAGTCCGAGTCAGACACCGGAACTTAGGTGCTTGCTGCGGGTGGAGGTAGAATGTATAGGACTCAGTGGTCTATTAGATGAGGGAACAGGGAGAGGCAGGTCAGCATGGAGATTGGTTGTCAGTGTAACTTGGGTTTCCTTACTGGCTTCTGCGTGCAAATGGGCCTGTGTTATCAGTTACCCAAACTTCACCGGCTTCTTCTACCTTTTATAGAACATTCAGCTCCCTCCAAAGCCCTTCCTATTAATTACTGGGAATCCCCGGAAACACCTCGCACCTGCAGGGACCTGCCCTTTTAGACGTTGTGCATAGGGATGTTTATTTCTGCTGAGGAAGGCCCTTGTGATTGATGCCTCATTGTTGCCACCTGCTGGAGTCCACTGTAACAACACCGAAGTGTTTTTTCCCCCAGTATACACCCTTTCTGCTTATATTGAAATGATTATTTACGTTATTTACGTTTTCTCACTCTCTCTCTCTTTTTTTTTTTTTTTTTTTTTTTTTTTTTTTTTTTTTTTTTTTTTTTTTTTTGGAGACAGAGTCTCACTCTGTCACCCAGGCTGGAGTGCAGTGGTGCGATCTCGGCTCACTGCAACCTCTGCCTCCCAGGTTCAAGCGATTCTCCTTCTTCTGCCTCCCCAGCAGCTGGGACTACAGACACCTGCCACCACACCTGGCTCATTTTTGTATTTTTAGTAGAGACGTGGTTTTGCCACGTTGACCAGGCTGGTCTCGACCTCCTGGCCTCAAAGGATCCGCCCTCCTTGGCTTCCCAAAGTGCTGGGATTACAATCGTGAGCCACCGTGCCCAACCATGTTTTCTCCTATGTTAATGTGGAGAATTATATTGAGTAATTTTTTACTGAAGTGAAATTCACATAAAATTAATCATTTTTAAGTGAACAATGCAGTGACATCTAGTGCGTTCACAATGTTGTGCATCCACCTCTGTTATCTAGTTCCAAAACATTTCCATTACTCCGAAAGAAAACCCTGTACCCCTTAAGTAGGTACTACTCATCCCTCCTCCCCAAGCCCTTGGCAACCACCAGTCATCTTTCTGTTTCTATGGATTTATCTATTCTGAATATTTCATATAAGTGGAATTACACAATATGTGGCCTTTTGTGTCTGGCTTTCACTTAGCAGAATGTTTTCAAGGTTCATCCATGTTGTAGCGTGTGTCAGTATTTCATTTCTTCTTATGGCTGAATAGTATTCCTTTGAATATGCATATCACAATTTTATTCATTTATCAGCTGAGGGACATTTGGGTTGTTCCCATCTTCTGGCTGTTGTGAATATTATGAACATGTGTGTACACGTACATATTTGGTACCTGTTTTCAATTCTCTTGAGAATGCTCTGAACTCCTAGGAGTGGAATTGCTGGGTCACCTGGTAATTCTATGTTTAACTTTTTGAGGAAATACAAAAATGTTTTTCATAGCAGTTGAACTATTTTACATTCCTGTAGCAGCATACGGGGACTCCAATATTTCCATGTCGTTGCCAACACTTGTTATTTTCTGTTTTTGTTTTCCAAATTATTATAGCCATCCTGTGGGTGTCATGAACACTAAAGTTTCATGAGATGCCTGCAAACTGCAAACCCTTGGGACATCTAACTACTGCTCGATGCTCCAGCATTCTCAATGAGTCAAAGCCCTACTGTATTCTCAAGACCCCTGTGCTCATTCTAGGTCCCACTCTTGACACCTGGACAATAAGTTTCAACCCAGAGCTCTCTCTTCATGAAACTCAAATGAGAGTTCATGGGGCCATGTCAAGAACTCGATATCTGAAGCAGATTCCAGGCTTTCCTTCCTGGCCTGTTCTTTCCAATCTTATCTTTCATTCTCCTAGCTAAAACCTCTTGATATACCACCAGCTCTTTAGGTACACTGGGATATGATTGCTTCCAAACTTAGCTGCTTAGCTTCCACCAGGGATCTCTACTATACAGGGTTTGTTGTTGTTGTTGTTTGTTTGTTTTTCTTTGTTTGTTTGTTTTTTGGAGACACGATCTTGCTGTGTCACCCAGGCTGGAGTGCAGTGGTGCCATCATGGCTCACCGCAATGTTGACTTCCCAGGCTCAACTGGTTCTCCCACCTCAGCCTCAACAAGTAGCTGGGACCACAGGCACATACTGCCATGCCCAACTAATTTATATATATACATATATACATACACACACACACACACACACACACTTTTTTTTTTTTTTAGAGAGATGATGTTTTGCCATGTCACCCAGACTGTGATGGAGGTCCTTGTTAGGATGGAGAGTGGGGCCAATCATGCAGATGATACAGAAAAATAAACACTGAGGACCAGAAACTTTGGTCCCTTTGGCTGTAAGGAAAATCCTGTGTGACGTCAAAGAGGGCACGTCTAGGAGGTATTTGATATCTGTATCTGGGGCTAAGGGTAGATATGTGGGATTGACAGAGAGATCCAGGAGTAATTGGGGCAAGATGTAGTAGCTGAAGCTGTGAGAGGAGGCAGGCTGTAATGGAAAATGTGTCAGTTGGTGAAGAACTGGAATGAAATGTCCTGGTTTGACGTTTTGAATATTCATTTAATTTTAGGAACACTATCAGAAAAGAGGCAAGCTTGTGAGCTGAGTCGGCTGCAGCAGCTCTAAACCACACATTGCTGATGAGTGAGAACCTCTGTTATAAATGGAAATGTGAACTGGCAAATACTCACTGGCTAAAGCTGAATGCACCAGTTTATTTTGGTACCTATTATGTCCATGATCTCCTATTTTCCTTATTGATTGCAAATACGCACAAGGAATAAAAAGCTGGCTTGCTTTCCAAAAACATGACCGAATGTTTTCACTGCTGAATATCTAAAGAGGGTGCAGATTGGACTTTTTGTTATTTCTCTGAGGTTAGAAATGTCCTTTGATGGGTTTCTAATTTTTCATGAAAGATCAGTTCCAGAGACTATTTACAAGCTGTTAGGAAAAACATCAAGCAGACAAGACATATTTCAAAATATTTAAAGTGGCCCATTCCTAGGTTCTCAGCTCTTCTCTCTCCACTTCCTCTCCAGGGATCCGTTCCACAGATGGGGGTTTAAGTCAGCCTTTATCTGTAGGTGACCCTTGTCTGACCTCATACTCTGGAATGCTCCATATGCCTCTGACTTTCATCCCAGGGAACATCAACACCCACTTCCGCTGGCATTCCTGATGGGATCTCTTTCTCCTGAACAATTGAAAGAGTACTGCTTCAGTGACTCCCAGGGAATGTTGAGAGAGTCATTTTTTTAAAAAAAGAGATTTATCCCACACCAACACAGGAATCACTCATTTTGCACCATTTTATGCATTGTCTGTTTTCAAGGTAGGCCGGTTTTCTCCTGTTCTTCCAATCCATGAACATAGTATAGATTCTTAAGTCCTTTTGAAGTGTAAAATTTCCCACAACCACGTAGCTCAATTTCTTCTACCCCCAGGAATTTTTTTTATCACATTAGCCTGTGTATTTCCCCCAAAACAGTTATCAAAACTGAAATTATCTTGTGATTTCTTGGTTTACATGTTTACCATCTGTCTCCTCCATCTAAAAGGTAAGTTCCATGAGGATGGGGTCCCATGTGTCTTCTCCCAGCACCTAGAGCAATGCCCCCATGTATAGGTGCTCATGAAATGTTTGTTGGCTGACTGGCTTACAGAATCAATTGCTTAAATATCATACAAAAGTTTCCATCATGAATGTCCTTTTTTTTTTTTTTTTCCTCTCTTGAGTAAGGATGTTGTCCTGATTTAACTAGCATTATTGACAAATGCCAGTTAACTGTATTAGTGGCTCTCAAGCTTTTGGATGCTGTTTACACTCTTAAAAAGTATTAAGGACCCCAAAGAACTTTTGTTTGTATGATTATATCTATCATTACCTAGTGAAATAGAAATTAAAACTGAGAATTTAAAATATTTATTAATACACTAAAGTAATAATAAACCCATTACATGTTAACATTAATATTATTTTTTATTCCCCCAAGCATACAAAAAAACAGGGAGAACAGAAGCATTGTTTTTTATTTTTGCATATCTCTTTAATATCTGGTATAATAGAAGACAGCTGAATTCTTATATCTGCTTTTGTATTCAATGTGTCATGATATCACAATATCATGTAGCCTTTGAAAAACCCCTCTGTGCACTTGTGAGAGAATGTGAGTAAAAAAGGCGAATAACATCTTGGATTTCTTTCTTTTCTTTCTTTCTTTTTTTTTTTTTTGAGAGGGACTCTCACTCTGTCACTCAGGTTGGAGTGCAGTTGCGTAATCTCGGCTCACTGCAACCTCCACCTCCCGGGGTTCAAGTGATTTTCCTGCCTCAGCCTCCTAATAGCTGGGATTACAGGAGCGTGCCATCGCACCCAGCTAATTTTTGTATTTTTAGTAGAGGCAGGGTTTCACCATGTTGGTCAGACTGGTCTCAAACTCCTGACTGCATGATCCACCCACCTTGGCCTCCCAAAGTGCTGGGATTACAGGTGTGAGCCACTGTGCCCGGCCCATCTTAGATTATTTTGCAAATAGTTTTGACTTCACTGATACCCCAAGAGAGTCTTGGGTAAACCCAGGGATTGCTGAAGCACATTGAGAACCAAAGATTGATATTAGTGGAGAGGAATATTTTTCTTTGTCTTTGAACTACATTCTCTTTAAACACTAATTTTCTCTTCGATATCCTTTGCTTAGCTTAATATTAGAACACATTTGCATTCCTCGAGTTTGCCAAAGGTGACCAAGATGCATAGCGAGGAAGGGGTGATGGAAAAACAAACCAAAGGTTAGTAATTTGTTGCTTTTATACAGACACATCCACATACAAACAAAAACAACAATAAAAACATGTGCCTTTGTGGAGCATGCACTGTGTGCTCTATATTTTCCAAAGATTATTCTTATCTCAACATTTCCAGGCAGGAATTATCCAGGCAGGAATTATCAGCTCCGTTTCATAGACAAAGAAAAGGAGGCTCAGAAAACCAAAATAACGTATGAAAGATTGCCAAGCTAATAAGTAATAGAGAGGTGACTGCCATGACCAAATCTCGTTTCCTCCAAAAGTGTGGCCTTTTTGACCATCAAATTCTACATTACCACAACATGGGAGGGAAAAACTCAGAAACAATGAAGAGTTCAATGTACAAATTAGCCTTGTTGTTTTGCATAAATGAATAAAAAATGTAACTCCTTTTTTTCTTCTAGTGATGTGTAAATTTAAAAAGTCAATGCTTTTTCCCCCCATTTGAAAAGTAATACACCTACAGCAGGAGACTGAAAGACAACTAAATGTCCATCAGTAGGGGACAGGGTGGTTGCATTAACTGCAACACACTTGTGGATGCAATACTATGCAGTCATTAAAAAGAACAAAGCAGCTCTATTGGTACTGAAATAGAACTGTCTCTAAGATGGGAAAAAGTAAGGTGGCTCAAGTTCTACAGTATGCTGTCATTTTTATTTAAAATGTGTATATTAATATGCACTGGTAACTGGTCGCTTTTGTGAATTCAGTAGAGGGACAAGCAGAGGGCAGCTTGTTTGTCTGTAACCATAATCTCCTCCTCCCCCAGACATAGACCTTGATGTGTGGTATGGACAGAAACCCTAACTTTTCAGAGAGCAAAACCGTCCAGCCATGTATAACACCAAAACCTCACTCTCGCTGCCAATTCAAAACTGCTAAGCTCCTCTATTCTTTCCCCTCCTCCTCCTTTCCATTCCATCTCCCTCTCTGCCTGAGTTGAGGCCATGAGAGGGGATTACAGGGAGACGGGGGAAGTCTTCGCCAGGGATGTCCCTGTAGTACTTTCTTTCCCTGACGCTTTTTTATTAGGGGAGCTCTCCAAATGTCTGCAAACGCCTGGCCGTCTCAGAGGCCCCACTTGTGGTTATACAGAGGGCTCCTGTGAGACCCTCTGAATGGCCTAGTGTCTTTCTTTCTTTCTTTTTTTTAGACAGAGTCTTGCTTTGTTGCCCAGGCTGGAGTGCAGTGGCGCGATCTCGGCTCACTGCAACCTCTGCCTTCCGGGTTCAAGCCATTCTCCTGCCTCAGCCTCCTAAGTAGCTGGGATTATAGGCACCCGCCACCATGCCTGGCTAATTTTTTGTATTTTTAGTAGAGATGAGGTTTCATCATGTTGGCTGGGCTGGTCTTGAACTCCTGACCTCAAGCAATCCACCCGCTTGGGCCTCCCAATGTGCTGGGATGACAGGCCTGAGCCACCGTGCCCAGCCTGTGCTGCCTAGTTTCTGATAGGAGTGAGGAGGTGCGGTTCAGCAGACTTCTTGTGCTCAGCTCCTTCCCCCAGTGCCCCACCCACACAACCCCTTTCCTCTGTGGCCCAGGCAGGTGGCAAGTAAGGCCATTCAGGACGGCTCCAGCGTTGCTAACTCCCCCAGCCTCTATGACTCCCGAAGCTCTCAGACCCTCGACTTGCCATGGGTGGAGAAGTCCTCCCCACACTGCCATTTCCTCACCCCTCCATGTTCCGGGGAGCACAGGTGGAACTCCCAAGAACTTTCCTGCTCCTGGGCGCGTGAGTCTTCACTGCACTGCCAAGTTTCCAATCAGGGCCAGTGACCTAACTTGCGGACCTCAGTACAAAACGGAAATGTAGGGTTTCTTGTCCAAAAAACAGGAGAAACTGCTATTAAAGACACTAAAACGTAAAGTTTTTCTTTAAAAATATTTTATTTCTAAATAAAATGTAATAGGGAAAAGAATGGTGTGTGAGCATCACACTTAACTTACACGTTGCAAAAAATTTAACATTTTCGTGTCATAATTTTATGTAATGGCTGGGTACAGTAGCTCATGCCTGTAATCCCAGCACTTTGGGAGGCTGAGGTGGGCAGATCACTTGAGGCCAGGAGTTCGAGACCAGCCTGGCCAACATAGTGAAATCCCGTCTCTACTAAAACTACAAAACTTAGCTGGGCGTGGTGGCACGCCCCTGTAATTCCAGTTACCTAGAGGCCGAGGCACGAGAATCCCTTGAACCGGGGGAGGCAGGGGTTGCAGTGAGCCAAGATCATGCCACTGCACTCCAGCCTGGGTGACAGAGTGAGGCTCTGTCTAAAAAAAAAAAAAAAAAAAAAAAAAGGTAACTTAATAAATAATAATTTGTTAATGTGGTATTGGATTGATCATTAGATTTTCTGGCTCAGTTTTCTACAAATTCATTCACTAGCTCATCAATATTTTTATACTTTTAGCAGCTTCATTTTTAATTGATATAATTGAAAGTGATATCAGCCTCTCTTGGGAAATGCTGGATCACAAATAATTTTTAATTTTGAGAAAAATTATTCTGTAGATGCAACTTTTGGCTTTTGCTATGGCCTCTACAAGTTACAGGAGATGTCAGAGGAAATATTAGACTGTCATTGTACACACTTACATTTAAACTTAAATTAAAGTTGGGTACAATGTTTCTTCACCTCTATAATCCCAGCACTGTGGGAGGCTGAGTGGAAGGACCACTTGAATCCAGGAGTTGGAGACCTGCCCGTGCAACATAGTGAGACCTCATCTCTACAAAAATTAAATAAATAAATACACTTAAATTCCGACTCACACAGAACTGATTAGCGTGAAAAGATAAAACTACTGATCTAACTGTAGATCTATCTGAAAATAGTTGATCTGGTAAATAAATTGACCTATTTTATTATTTATTTATTTGAGGCAGAGTCTCGCTCTGTTGCCCAGGCTGGAGTGCAATGGTGTGATCTCTGCTCACTGCAACCTCTGCCTCCCAGGTTCGAG